CTTTTCTCTCTCTCAGAATCTGACTATACTTTTAAGTATGACTTTTGCCGATCAATAGTAATCATACGACTAGTGACTGCCTCGGAGTTAGTTATTGTTAAGTGAATGTGGGTTTCAATACATAATTAAAATATAGAATATTTTGATACTTATTATGAGGTTAAAATTCTTATGCAAAAAGTGTACAAGATATATTAGTGTATATTATTATATTTGTAATACAGTAATATTTAATAAATATTATGGTTACAAAATATATGCCAATTAGTTTATAGGTTTTAAACAAGCAAGTTAAATTCTAAAATATTAGTATCCACAATAATAATCTTTAGTAATCTTTAATTAAACCTAGATACTTTTATATTTAGATAGAAATTGTCTAAAAACTATTTTATTAACTAGCACACTAGACAAAACAATTTACAATTATTTGTCCCAATAATCTCCCGGTGCCCGCTATAACGGACATTCCCATTGAGCGCACAAATACTAATAAATTCTTTATATAATATTGTTATGAACTAAAAGTCCGGGGAATCTATTCATTGAAAATGTCTTGTGTTTGGTCCCTATTATCAGTGGCCACTCATGAGTGAAAACTTGTGTCCACACAATAGTCATATATAAATCAATTTTTGTGTTGATTTTCTCTAGAAATATAAAAATTCTTTTTATTTTTATTTTCATTTTATTTATAGATTTTTTTCGCTCAAAAAATTAAAGTAATCTTCAATTTGCTATCAATGCGTACAATAGGTTCTCATTATATATTTGGTTAGCAATAGTATCCTAGGTTAATATGTATAGTCATTTAAAAATATATTGTTTAATCTATGTATTATTTATTTTATATAATAAACTACTAATTAAAATAGTCAATTAATAGTAGGTATACGTTTTATAGTGTACTATAAATACTAATAAGTGTTTACTGTATATAAAAACTTCAAAAGATTTTGAGAAATAGACAAAACTATTGACAATTCTCTCTCTCTCTCTCTCTCTCTCTACTAATAAAGAGACTGAAACTCCGATAGCTATACAGTCTTATACAGTATAAGGAGTTTGAAACTTAATTTCATTTAATGTTTACCTATCGATAGGGCTATAAACTCCTCACTAAACAAAAGGCATGCCATCCCTCTCATCGCAAATACTATCTTTATATACCAGTGCCTACCCGTCCCTCCCTATCCACTCTCAATGAGCGCACAGACAAACGGGAAAATAAAATAAAATCACACAAAAATACACACAAAAAATCAATTCTCATTCACTTTACTGTAGTTTTTTCTTTGAGCTCTCAATACAAACGGATTGATATATTAAGTGAGAGAAAAGTATAGAAAAAAATTGTTTTTGATTTTCTGGTCAATGGAAATAAATCGCAGGAAAAAAGTGCACAAAAAATATTATATATATAAAAATATACTGTGTATATAACTTATATATATATATAAACTTCTTATATAAAGCTCTTATACAGAATATTTCACACAAAAATACACACAAAAAATCAATTCTCATTCACTTTAGTGTAGTTTTTCTTTGAGCTCTCAATACAAACGGATTGATATATTAAGTGAGAGAAAAGTATAGAAAAAAATTGTTTTTGATTTTCTGGTCAATGGAAATAAATCGCAGGAAAAAAGTGCACAAAAAATATTATATATATAAAAATATACTGTGTATATAACTTATATATATATATAAACTTCTTATATAAAGCTCTTATACAGAATATTTCACACAAAAATACACACAAAAAATCAATTCTCATTCACTTTAGTGTAGTTTTTCTTTGAGCTCTCAATACAAACGGATTGATATATTAAGTGAGAGAAAAGTATAGAAAAAAATTGTTTTTGATTTTCTGGTCAATGGAAATAAATCGCAGGAAAAAAGTGCACAAAAAATATTATATATATAAAAATATACTGTGTATATAACTTATATATATATATAAACTTCTTATATAAAGCTCTTATACAGAATATTTCACACAAAAATACACACAAAAAATCAATTCTCATTCACTTTAGTGTAGTTNTATTTATCATTACATTTAGCGTGCACGATTTATATACAGGGATAATTCATATGTCATATTAAATCTAATATTTAATATAAAAAATACATGAAAAGTAATAAATATTTTATTAAACCGTTTGGGTCTTTAAGATCAATGAGATGTCATATAAAGGATTCAATGCGAGAGAGAGAGAGAGAGAGAGAGAGAGAGATTTATTATTAACCAAAATATTTTATCTGGTCAGACTTAATTACCATGTACAATAAAATAATAGACTAACTTGTAATTTTATAACCAAAAATACATTGATTATTAAAATTATATTTAACACTACACAAAAATTAAATTAAATTTGGTGTTCTTATATAATTCAATTGTTAAATTAATCAGGGTTCATTATTTAGAATAATTAAAAGTTAATATTTATTTATGAAAATATTACCCATTATTATAAGGTAGATATAATTTTAAATAGAGTTATATTTAATTAAAACTCATTTTTACAGCTTATACTAACCAATATTTTTGAAACTATACTTATTTGTTAGTAAGGCATCAATTACTTATAGATATTTATATTGATTAATAATAATATGAGCTTAATAATAATAGTCAAATTTTAATTACTGATTATTTCATCTATGATAAAAATATTAATATATATATTAAGTTTATTAAAATACGTTACCAATACTTATCATTTAATATAAGTCATATTACAAAAAATATACATTAAATTTTATAATGCCAAAATATTTTGGTAAGTCTATTTAATTAAAAAAAATTTAAAAGTATTTCTAAAGAAAGCTACATAACCTCTCCATTATTAAACACTTTATATAATTCTATTAAATGTTGCAACAAACTATGAAAAACATGTTTACAGCTTATAATGTTAATATAAACTGTATCTCAACACTGCATACAAACTAAATAAACAATTTCATTCTACTTTTAATAATTAGATTTATATTATTAATATAAAGTAAATACAATTAAAAAACAGTAAAATGAGCATGTTAATCACTCACGTCGAAACTCTTGACAAACTTCTTTTTTCGCTTATTCTTCGACGAGTTTAACTGATAGTAAATACCGGCAAATATCAAAATATTGAGAAAAAGCAGCGAGCATCCTATCACTATAGTAATAGTCAATGCGGTCTGGTAGCCGTTCCCATCATTCATAACAATAGCCGTGGCCGTAGTCTTATTGCTAACCTCGGTGGACATGGATAAAGGGAACTGGGTGCTAAACATAAACGAGCTCGGTGTACTCGATTGCATTTGCTGCTGTTGTAGCGATTTATAATTTAGCTTGCTCGAATATTTAGCTTGGCTATTGGTAGCCGTGTTGTTGCTAGGCTTGGCTCCCGGTGCCGTCGGTAGGGGCTCCAGGAATTTGAAGGCAATTTGGCGCACTATGCCGTCGTACGACTGTTGATTGTCGTGGTCGTGGAGTAGGTGGTGCCGCAGGTATATGTCCTCATCCCCGCCCGGTTTGTGGAGTTTCGGTATGAGGTGTAACCAAAAGGACAGGCGATGCGAGTGGTAGTGGTCACGCACTTTGGGTTTCATGCCTATGGGTAAAGGTGTATAATTATTATTGATATATGTGTGTTAGTTGTAGCAGGGTTGTTATTTTTAAAATGTCTGGGTAGTTTAGAATTATAATAATAATGTAGAATATATGATATTTTTTATATGTCTATAAATAATTGAGTGTAGTATTGCTATAATGTGTTATTTTTGTATAGACAAATAGCTAGGTAATTGGGAATTTTAATTTTATTACTCTAATTAAACATATTTCATAATAGTTAATTAAAAATATTTATTTATGTAACAAGGATATTTGTAAAAACTTTTAATGTGACACACTATAAAAACGTTATAATTGTTTTAATTAAAATTATTTTTAATATTTGCACTACCAATTAAAATTTATAATTGTTTAAATAATGCAAGCTAATATAATTTATAATAAATTACATTTCTCTATATAAAAATAAATTATTGACTAGGCTAATAAATAACTAAAATAATACGACTAATAATAATGACTATTACATGAAGTATTGTATTAGAAAATCAATAATTAATTTTATCTGGTGAAGTTAATTATAATCAAGATTGCGATTGGAGTGGCCAGTAGTGGACAGGCATTCAGAAAATATCTTAAATATATTGCGAGCAAAGGATTAAATATTTATTTTTAAGTCTTTATATTCAGTTGCCATCCGATAGACAAAGACAAACAAAAATTAAGGTTTTATTTGTTTTTTGAGAACCGATTGTATATAAAATGAAAATTAAATACACTATTCATGAGAATTGCTTTTTGAGTTTGTCTTGATAAAATCTGCTTGTTTGTTTTTAGAAATTTTATTTTTAATTAATTTATTTTATGGTAGCATTTTATTAATAGGTTCATTCACTTTAATAAGTATATATTTTGATCATGCAAAAATAAATAGTTTATTTTACACATTATTTATGAATTATAATAGTATGCTAATTATTTTGTCACTAATAATTATATTAAAAATAAAATTTATTAAAAAATATAATAATATAATAAAATAAACTAAATATAATATTATTTATAGTAATTAATACTGTTAATTACAATTATTACTAAATTCCAAAAATAAAACTAGCCAGCTTATTATTAACAAATAAAATAACTAATTTATATTATACAGTTTTAATTAAAATTTAAAATACATACCAATCATCAAGTACTTTTTCTGAGTGGAGTCATACTGGGGCCAGACCACATTTTCAAACCTCCCTTTCGTACGATCCCCGTGCGATTCAAACTCGTGGGGCCATACATTCGGGTCCCTACATGTCATACATAGTATTAATAAATATTAGCACCAAGCACACTCCATAAAATAAAATACAATTGATTTCATATACAAAATTGATTGACACGAAACAAAATATAATATTTTATACATAAAAGGCATTTAAGTGTTGATAATGTATTTATTGAATTATATGTGCTTTTTGTTTGTGTTTTTTGTCAATAACTATATTATATATAGAATTTAATGCAATATTTATCGGAATATTCTGTTATTCTGTGAGAATAGTATTGACAAAACGAAATGGTATTGAGTTTTATGCGTGAATTTGATGGATGTATTGTGGGATACGGTAAGGAATGGGATGTCTGTATGAATGGTTGAGGCATATTCACCATCCCTTTCCCTCCATAGTTGATGTGTAGTTCCCATTCAATCTATTTGTGAGCTATTTATTGATATAATATTTTGTTTTGTGTTTTTTGTTTCCCAAAGTTTTGTATGTCTTTTCAGTTAATAAAATATTTTTTGTTTTCTCTATACATAAGACTCTTATACACAGAATATTCTGTATAAGAGCTTTATATAAGAAGTTTATATATATATCTATAAGTTATATACACAGTATATTTTTATATATATAATATTTTTTGTGCACTTTTTTCCTGCGATTTATTTCCATTGACCAGAAAATCAAAAACAATTTTTTTCTATACTTTTCTCTCACTTAATATATCAATCCGTTTGTATTGAGAGCTCAAAGAAAAAACTACACTAAAGTGAATGAGAATTGATTTTTTGTGTGTATTTTTGTGTGATTTTATTTTTTTTTCCCGTTTGTCTGTGCGCTCATTGAGAGTGGATAGGGAGGGACGGGTAGGCACTGGTATATCGAGATAGTATTTGCGATGAGAGGGATGGCATGCCTTTTGTTTAGTGAGGAGTTTATAGCCCTATCGATAGGTAAACATTAAATGAAATTAAGTTTCAAATTCCTTATACTGTATAAGACTGTATAGCTATCGGAGTTTCAGTCTCTTTATTAGTAGAGAGAGAGAGAGAGAGAGAGAGAATTGTCAATAGTTTTGTCTATTTCTCAAAATCTTTTGAAGTTTTTATATACAGTAAACACTTATTAGTATTTATAGTACACTATAAAACGTATACCTACTATTAATTGACTATTTTAATTAGTAGTTTATTATATAAAATAAATAATACCTATATTAAAAAATATATTTTAAAATGACTATACATATTAACCTAGGATAATAATGCTAACCAAATATCTAATGAGAACCTATTGTACGCATTGATAGCAAATTGAAAATTACTTTAATTTTTTGAGCGAAAAAAATCTATAAATAAAATAAAATGAAAAATAAAAAGAATTTTTAGATTTCTAGAGAAAATCAACACAAAAATTGATTTATATATGACTATTGTGTGGACACAAGTTTTCACTCATGAGTGGCCACTGATAATAGGGACTCAAACACAAGACATTTCAATGAATAGATTCCCCGGACTTTTAGTCATAACAATATTATATAAAGAATTTATTGGTATTTGTGCGCTCAATGGGAATGTCCGTTATAGCGGGCACCGGGAGATTATTGGGACAAATAATTGTAAATTGTTTTTGTCTAGTATGTTAGTTAATAAAATAGTTTTTGGACAATTGTTGTCTAAATATAACAGTATCTAGGTTTAATGTAAAGATTACTAACGATTATTATTGTAACTACTAATTTATAATATTTTAGAATGTAACTTGCTTGTTTAAAACTTATAAATTAATTGTCATATATTTTGTTACAAATATTAAATATTATAACAAATATAATAATATACACTAATATACCTTGTACACTTTTTACATAAGAATTTTAATCTCATGATAATTATCAAAATATTCTATATTTCAATTATGTATTGAAACCTACATTCACTTAACAATAACTAACTCCGAGGCAGTCACTAGTCGTATGATTACTATTGATCGGCAAAAGTCATACTTAAAAGTATAGTCAGATTCTGAGAGAGAGAAAAGTGTAC